TACATTTATATATTTATATGTTGGATGTGAGGGCACGCTCGAAGGTGAAAAAGTGTATCGAGTGAGTTTTCAAAATTTGATGTCAAATTTGTGAGCGGGTTTCTTTATATGGATTTGTAATTTAATGACAGAATATAATCTTTATAATTTATTTATATAATGATATAAAATAAATTTGGGAAACGCATCATTCGCTCAAGCGAAAAATACCAATTTTCGTTCACGCGAGATATTTTCGCTTGAGCGAGTGAATTTCCGTGAGCTTTAACGTATTTTTGCTCAAGCGAGAGTCAATCCCACTTTTACCCTCGAGCGCGCCCTCACATCCAACATATAAATATATAAATATATAACTATATAAATATATCAAAATATATAAATATATTTGTATTTATATATTTTATATTTATATATTTACACGGATATATATTTTTTTGTATATAAATATAATTTATTTGTAAATTATTATTAGAAAATTTTAGTAGTTTAGTGGTTGTAGTATCGGCCTCTAACTTTAAAATACTGGGTTTGAATCTTGTTAGTGACAATTTTCTAACTTAAGTGAATTTTTAGCTAAAAAAAAATAAAAACGCTTTTTACATCAGTTGATTAAAAATCAACATAGAATGCATTCAACTTTCAACGTTTTTTTTTAACCAACCGACGGTGAAAGTACTTTTCATATCGCCTCAGCTTTAATTGACGTTAAATAACGACGTGGAAAACATATTTTGTAGTAGTGAATCAACACAAAAGATATAACATAGTTGATGTTAAATACATTATTCCCACTAGTGTTATGAGAATCCTTACACTCACTTGAAAATCTTCCTAGAGATATGTAACATTGTAAAGATCCGCCAAATCCAAGATGTTGTTAGTCACTTAAGTCTTTTTCCATTTTTATTGGTTGGCTATGCAAAAACTTGGCTACATTTCTTACCTAAAAGTAGGCTCACTACTTGGGAGGATGTGGTAGCCAAGTTCCTTAACAATACTTTCCTTAGTCCAAGGTTAACCAAGACAATAAAGAAATTTCCTCGTTTAAATAAGAAATTGATGGATCATTAAGTCAAGTTTGAGAAAGATAAAAGGGTCTGCTTAGGAAAACTGCTGCTTATGATTTTGATGAGTAAACTCAAATAACATATTTTGGGTGAATATAACTTGCAAACTAAGTTGATGCTTGATGCCTCAACTAGAAGAATGATCAACGGGAAAACAACCTAGTGAAGTTCATGAATTTATAGGGAACATGATATTTAATGAAATGAGAGGAATAATAGTGAAAGAAAAAACATGTTAAAGCTCAACCACAAGATGTTATGTTGATACAAAATAAGATTATGACTCAACAACTAAAAAGTACTCAGGAAGAAGACATCGCAACCAAGGTCACGATGTGACGACAAAAGTATAAAAATGTAATAGAGTCACCACTAAAATTTATTTGAAGAAAGTATAAAAAAAAATCAACATTTGAAAGGAAAATAATTAGTAAGTAAAACCAATTTTAGATTCAAGAATTAATTATGCTTAGGAAATGTATTAGAATCCTATGATATTTGTTTTAATATAAAGTGAAAAAGTTAAATACCTCCAAAACTATTTATTTTACCCTCAAAACTAATTATAATGTATTCATTTTTAAAATTAAATATTATTATTATTATTACTATAAAGATAATATATTTTTATTGTTTTTTTCTCCGGTTACTTTAAATATTCCTAAGTACCCTAATGTAACGGTGAATCAAAGTTACACCATTCATGTTTTGAAAATATTGTGAATGAGAAATTTTAATATATTTAATTTAGTTATTTTAATTTAAAACAAATTTCAAATAACCAATTGAGAAGTGCATCTAACATGGTGTTTATATTTTTATAGTTATATAAGAACAAAAATTCAAAGGGGTTAGAGTATCATCTTCAATTTTAAATAAAGCATTGACTGTTTTTTTTTAATAATTATTTCATTAAGTAACTTAAAAAATAAATAAAAGAAAGCAAATAAGGAAAGAGAATGAGTTACTTAAAATTTTTTAAGAAAAATTTCATTACAGTATTCAATGATGAGTATACCTAATATAGTATAACAAATTCATATTTTTATTTTTTAAATTCATATGAGTTGTTCTTATTGAAGATATCCTCAGAATTATATTTTTTTATAATTTAAATAAGAATTAAATTGAAAATACATTCTAAGTAATTATTACTAAATTTTCATGTCTTTAAAATTTCAAGTAATTTATTACTTTTTATTCTAAAAATTTAAATATTTCAAAGAAAATATTTTATAATAATGTCAAATCAAAATTATAAGAAAATATTATTAAAAATTTATAATGTCATGATAATTAAATTAGAAATGCGGCAAGATCTAGAGTAACAGTCTTTTATGATAAAGCTTTATTATAATCGATTTTAGTTGCATGAAAAAAAATTAAAATATATTTATATAAATTAATAAGGAAAATTGAAATTCGATTGTATTTAAGATTTAGTCCATGAAACGTTTGAATCTTGTTGCCAATAATAACATGTTAAGTTACTATTTTTATATAAAAGTTATAATTTCAAAATATTACTCATGATTATTTATAAGAAAGGAAAAAATATATATTAAAGTAGATGAATGAGTTAAATAAATTGGCTCACAATGTTTTGTTATGGGCTTATCAACGAATGATCTAAGAAAATATTAGAAACTCAAATGTAGCACAAGTGAGAAATTACTTTTGTTTTTAAATAAAATAAAAACCACAAGTATTAAAATAAATAATAAAATAAAATATAACAGAAATTGGGTTTCTATCACTCAAAGCACAAATAAAAAAGCGGAAAATGGTTTGAATCTATCACTCAAAGCTCAAACAGAAAAGGAAAAAAGGGATTTTAGATTTAAACCCTACACTGTAAATCTGGTTACCTTCATCACTACAATTTTTTAAATGTTGGAAATATTTACTGAGAATGATTTCTATGGTGTGGACGACGGTTTGGAGTGGGGAGTAGTAAAGGATGGAAGAACGCGCATCTCATGCGGACAGATTCCTCAAAATTTCGTAACTTTCTTATAATTTTTTATTTACAATTTTATCTTTACAATTTTACCTTCTGAGTCCCTCTTCAGTTTTATAAATCTCATATAATTTATTATTTTATCCTCCTCAAATTTTATAAATCTCATATAATTTATTATTTTATCTTCCTCAAATTAAATAATGATTTAATATATTTAATATATTTAAATATATATTTATAATTTTATAATTTCACTTTTTTATATTTATTTATTATTTATTAATAATATATTATTTATTCCTAAATATCTTCGCTATCCTTATGGGAGAAGAATTCACAGAACACGATTAATGTATCAAGGTCTAAGATCGTAACTGCGAGGAAACTTCGATGAAGAAGCAGGAGATATACAAGAGAAAGAGAGGGGAGAAACGAAAGACAAGGGTGATGGTCATGGTTGTCGGGAATCGCTTCCGGAGGCTATGTCAGAAATCTCCTCTTATAGGTGCCAGAAGTTTTTCCATACGGTAAAGGTTTGTTTCTAACTTTCTTATCTGAAATCTAATTTAAGTAAAGCCAAAACATAACATATTGTTCATTGTGTGTACAAATTGAAATGTATTTTAGGTTCAAATACAATGAAGTAGAACAAATAATTGGTACCAAATTTATTTTGCGTTGGAGGTTTCTTTGAGGGTTTAAGATTGTCTTGGTGTTCCCTTCTCTTTTGTATTGCCCAATTATCTTTACTTAGTTATGCTTCTTTTTGCAATTTTTTGTTTGTTTCCTCTCTAACAAAATCTCCTTCATCTTTAGAATGATGTTTCTTTTATAAGAATTTCTTTAGATCTCTTACGTTTTTGTAAGAGTTCAAGGATGATGTGATTCAACGTGTTTGACAAGGAGAGTAGGGAATGGCTTGCGAAGGCTTGTTGTGATTGTATTGGTCTCTAGCAGAGAGGATAAGAGAATATAGGTAATTGGAATGCATGAAATCAGTTGAAACTAGTAGAGTGAGAGAAGAGAAGAAATACTTGTTTCAATTGTGTTGTTTCTAGACTTACTATTAAGTAACAAGAGGAAAAAAGATTTTTTCCATTAACGACCAACGGACAACGCTTCTGCATACCTTTCAAAAAAAAAAAACTTATTCTCAACTTTTGATCAAATAAAACCCTCCTACTTACTTCCAACCAGGTTGGGTTCTGGAGAGAAAAAGTTGATGACATATATTTTAACAAATATTCCATAAGTGTTATAATTCATAATCTTAATAATAATAAATAAAAAAACAAGTTTTATTTTCAATTGGGCTTAGGCCCATTTTGTAATGTAGTTTAAAAAAGAACTTATACGAAGTTTTTAATGAGTTCACAATATGGTTTTCTATATACGAACTTGGGATGGAAGCTTTTGACTTTTTTCTTCCTTCCTTGGATTCATTTAATGGTTGAATTCTTCTCTCCTTTTTATTTTCTTTTTAGACTTGTAGCATAAATTTATGTGGAATCCTTCTTTTATAGGTTTGGATTTATTCATTGACGACTATTTGATTTAATTGCATGTTTCTATGTATGTATATTTGAATTCCATTCTTAATTATTTTTTTTATTGAACCTTTATGATTGCATAATCTTAAATCATTGAGAACACTCAGAGATGAATATTATTGGTACATAACGTGAAAAAGACTTACACCTTGAACAACAAGAAAGAATGTTGTCTAATTCAAGGGTCAAATGAATTAACAAAGAATATAAACAATAACTGATCATGTTTCCTCCATACTCAAGTATAAGTAAGAAATGGTTATGTTTAAAACACAATCCCTACTAATAGGAACTTATAAATCCATTACTCAATGAAGATCAGCCACTTGCAGTTTTTCCTTACAAGAAAGAAATCCCCTTTCGTACATGTGTAGGCGTAGGAGGGGTGTTTTATTACATAATAACAGCAAATACAGAACCCTAACTAGTAAAGTCCTGCATGGATGATGGCATAACGATCTTTCTTTTGGGCCTAACAGACCTAATTTTATGGTTCAGTGACTGAGTTGGGTGAGTAAGGCTGGTAGCACTTGACAATGGCATGTTCGTATTCTCCAAGAATGATTTGAAAAGAGTAAAAGCTTGACGAGGTCTATGAAGTGGAACCTCATGTCCTGCCCCTCTTACTGTAACCAATGTAAGCCCCTTGTAAACTTGACTCCACCCACCAACCTTAGGCAGAATAAGTGTAATTTTTTAAATAATAATAAAGGTAGGAATTGATGATGACGATGATGATGATAAGTATAGAACCTACCTCGCCATTATCATACCAAGGGTACCAATTGGTGATGGTAGGAAGGTTCAAGGAAGCAATTGAATACCGAGTTGCGGTTACAGGCACCACTGCATCAGCGTCTCCACTTCAGATACCAAATTCAAACTCAAACCATTATCAGCAATGTGTATGTCAAGAATGTAACGTTATCATAGCATTGAAAAAATCACGAGTTTTTCAGAATACCTGAACACCCATATCCTGAGGCCAGCGTCAAGAAATTCTTGATATATTGGAAGCACAGAAAGGGGAGAATCACCCCAGGTTTCCCCAACAATGTCACTGTTAAGAAGCACTTTTTTGAGTCATTTCTGATGAAGCATGCATATCAATAATATTGCATATAAAAAATATACAATTAACATGCCTGCATCCAGTCCATGAATAAGGAATCCCAGTTACGTTGGCGTGAAGAGCCTTCTGAACCTCTGGACTATTGAAATACACGTCAGAGTACCTCTCAGTGCAGGGATCGTATGCCCGAGACATCCATGCCTGAGTTTTAAAATTAAAAATCAACTAATCAGAATATGAATATGTTTTCCTGGTTTTTTTCAGTACGGACTTCTGTTAAAGAAAATAATTCTCGCAGATAAAGTTTGAGTTTTTATCTAAAACAAAATGTTTACTAAATTATAAATTTGTAAAATTAAACTGTATATTTAATTGAAGAGTACTCATACCATTTAAAAATTTCTTTACTAAAATTATTTCAAAATAAAAAATATTATTTTATTTTGAATTTTATATATAAATTATTTGTAAAGATATCTTTCTTCCATTTTAAATAATTTATATATAAAAATTATAATAAAATAATATTTTTGTTTATAAAAAATACTCTTGTTCTAAAGATATAAACATCTCGTACCACTCTCCCCATTACGTAAAGAGATCATTTTCGTATAGAGACACGGACGGTTGAATATCATTAAAAAATATTTGTTTTTTAACTTTTAAATAAGTAAGTTAAAGTAAATATAAAATATTAAAAAAATAATGTCTCCTGTTAAGCTTGTTATAGTAAAAAAAACAATTAAGAGAGGTTTATTTATAAAAGTAAATATACTAACAATGTAGAAATGTTTTTACTAAACAAGGAAAAAAAATTAAAAAAATAAAAGAACAGAATTAGAGTAAATGAAAGTTGTTTATCTAAAAATAATTAAAAGGAATTTTTAATATAATATAACTTTATTTATTCATTAAAACTTTTTATAATTTTTTTCTTATAAAAAGTAAAATTTCAATTTCAATTATAATTTTATTTTATTTTATATTTTATTATCCTTTATTTTTTATTATTATAATTTTTATTAATATTACCTTTTTTGTTATAAAAAACAAAATTTAAAAAGAAAATTACGCACTTTATATATCATTATCTTGAAATAGTGTTACATTAATAATTGATTATGTTTCTCTGCTCTAGCAAACACAGACTATACACATTAATAGTGTCAGTACCTATGTCGTGTCAATGTCAAAATCAGGTCCACATGCTTGTTTTACAGATTACACATCAACCACAATTTTAGATCTTTCATCTATCTTAAAAATAATTATTATTTCTGGTATCTTTTTTATCATAAAATATTTTATTTCCACAGTTTTTTATAAATAAAGAAATTGTGTTTTTTTTTCTTCTTGTTTTTGCTGAAGTGTTTTAGAAAGAAACTAGTGTTTAGCTTTGGTAATAACTTACCAAGCGACCCCTTAATCGGCTTTTGAGTGTTGCAGCTGTACGGTTGCACACAGGTGTATAAATGCTGTATTGATCAATGTCTCCCATCTCCAAACTTGCAAGTTCAAAAGCTTCCTCGCATTTCTCTGGTGGATGCTGAGCGGAATCAAACTCACACACAATTCTCAACAACTTATATGTGGCATCGGAAATCAAACCATTGACCCACCAGTACTCAAATGTTCCAATATAATCATGGTAATCATCAATCACAGCATTTCCAACCTGACAAATCACAAAAAACCACACCCTTTTGAAGATTTTTCAGCAGTTTTCATATACCATTGGCATATATCTAAAACATGCCATCGTTGTTTCATGAATGTTACAGGCTCACCATAAACCCCTTGAAATTTATATCTGGGTTCTCGATTCCTTTGTTTTTGCGATAAATAACTTGAGACAACTGAGGAACATAGTGACCTGAAATGAGTTTGTAAAGCTTTGGTTAACAATTATGGAAGGGAAATCCTTAGGAGGAAAAGTAGTATGTTTTACTGATAGAACAGGACCGGCATAACTTTCTCCAGCAATGTAGAAATCTCTATGCTTGTACTGAGGAAATCTCTCAAGCCAATTAACAAGGAATGCATATGAATCTTCAGCTGCAGAGTTGGAAAAAACCATGCCAAAATCAATCTGAAGAATATTAGGGACACTTTCTCTAATACTCTTTATGCCAACAGGTAAAATTTATTGAAAATAATCACTTTTGGTAACTCTTGCTTCTCATGTAATAAATAATTATTTCCTATTATTCAGAGACATGATCCACATAAGTTGATTATTTTTATTAAATTTCACAAAATCACTTAGGAAATGTCACAAATAATTGGTAGGTAATAATACAACATGCCAAAAATATTCTCCATCAACAAGTAAGCTAGCATTCTGCAGCTACAAACCTGTTTTTTTGTCTCCTGTATGCAGATCTGATGTTGTGTTGGAATAAGAAGAGCCAACACCAGCGGGAGAATCAAGGAAGAGTATATTTGCCACTGCAGAACACAGAAAAACAAAAATTTTGTAGGGAAAGACCAAGAACCAAAACAAAAATAGTGTTGGGGGAGGGAATTTCCCTCACATTTGTTCCAAGCATAAGGATTAGAGTAAAGTGATTTCCCATCAGAATTGATTCGAAAAGGACCAATTTCTTCAGCTGCTCCATAAGCAATAGAGGAGCATCCAGGGCCACCATTAAGCCACAACACTAATGGCTTTGAACTACTATCTGGTGTCTCAACCAGCCAATAAAACAATGCTCTCCCAGCTTCGTTATCCACAGTCACATAGCCTGAGTACTGATCAAACACCACATTCTCTGGTTGTCCTGGCAGCTTCGCAATCTTATCCCTTTTCTGATCCTCTGTGGGAGAAGCTAAGCAAATCCCCACAAAGATGGACAAAAGCAAGACAACATGGAATTGGGAACATTCCATGATTTTGATAACACACAAGGGAAAAAGAAAGACTCTGAGTTGGAGAATAATTAGAGCACCGATGGAGTTTATAAAGGTGTCAAAAGTCTGAAACACCAAACACTGCATTCCATGTAAGGGGAAAAGATAATTATTTACTCATAAAATAGATAATTTAAAGCACGTGGTTGCTCTCAATCCAAGAAAATGATTCTATTGACTGAAAAATATTCTTGTGGCACACATTCAGTCGTCAACTAGTCACATTATGACAAAGGTTTGGACACTTGCGCTTTGGTTTCTTGTACACACAGAAGAACTCTCAAAGTGGAGGATTTTCCGCCAATGTTTTTTTTTGTTTTTTTTTTAATTTATAGAAATGAGTAAATTTTTAAAAAATTATAATTTAAGGAAGTCAAGTTATGATTTTTTTTTTTAATTTATAGAAGTAAGTAAATTCTAAAAAATTACTAGATAAGTCATGATATACACAACACGACTAAAAAAATTTGATGTTAGTTTGATTTTTTTATTTTTTATTTACCAACAAGTTTGAAATTTTTTTATTCATCATTCGATTTTAATATAAACAAAATATTGAAGTTATATTAAATAATATGACTTCAATTTTTATATTTTAATTATTATCTATATCATATCAAGATATTTTTTTAATTATTTTTTTGTCCTATCATGAGAGAGAGAAATAAAAATGTTAGAATTTATAATATAGTAAAAAAAAATTATTGTAATTTATATATTTAGAAAATAATAGAAAGATAAGAGAAAAAAATTATGGTAAGTGTAATTAATAAAGAAAAAAATATATATTTAAAGAATGAAGAAGGAAAATAAAATATTTAAAAAAAATATTTTTAAAAATAATTATAATAAAAATATGGATGTATATTATATTATAATTTATAAAGGGAGAGAAATAATATAAAAAATAATTATAATGATTTATATATTTAAAAAATTAGTATAAAAAAAAAAAATGTGTGATAGGATATAACAAGTGAAAAAAAAAACCGTAAATATATCTAAACAGTAGAGAGAAAAAAATCCTGATACAGTAATTAAAAAAAAATCATCCGATAAAGAAACCTAATATGAAAATGTAATTGAAAAAAAAAAGTTTGAATTAGGTTAAATTTTTTTTATTAAATTTAATTCAACCCAATTTACTTTCTATTATATTATATTATTCTAGATTAGATTGACTTCAGTAAACTATATCATATATTTTTTAAAATATTTTTTATCAATATTCATAATTTAAAATAATTTTTAAAAATTAGAATATGTTAATTAATATGTAGATATAATGTTCCAAAATAACATATTTAATAAATGGATAATGAAATATTATAATAATAATAATTATTACGAATGTTAATATTATTTAATAATTTTAGTTTGATTAAATTAAGATGGATTTAAAATTGAACATAAAAGAAATCCGATAAATTATAGTAGATCTAACTCAATAAAAAAAAATAGCCTATCTTTAATCAATTTGAATTATATTGAATCAAATAAGTCACATTTTTTAAAATAATATTTTTAAAATAAACTATATTAGTTACTATCAAATAAATTAAATAATAATTATATTATTATTATTATTTAATCATTTTGATCCAACTAAATTGAATTATTTTTTTAGTTTAATATGCAAAACTCATAAAAAATTGAGTAACGCAAAATTAAATTGAATTTAAACTAGTTAGAAAAGAAAAGTCAACGTAATATGTTTTGATAGTATAATATCGAGTTATCCAATATAATAAACATATCAAGATTCATCTAAATTAAATTTAGTCATTTTTATTCCATTCCATTATCTAATATATGATTTAAATATCTTTAAATTAAATCATAAAATAGATTTATCGATTATTTTATAAAATAATAATTATATTAAAAAAATAATATAATATTATTTTATTAAAATATATACATATATTTTAATTTATATATCTAACTCATTATATAGAATATTAAAATTAATTTATTAAATTAAACGTTAAAAATATATTTGGTTTTAAAATTAATTTTTATTTTAATTTTTTAAGTGTGTTAAAATAATTTATGGACTATTAAACTAACATAAATAAGATTAAAAAAATAAAATTTATTTTAAATTAAACTGTCTCCCTTTTTAATTTACGCTACCGAATTAGACTAAATTGACTCAGTATGCACATTTTTTCATCCCATATTATCATCATTATGATGAGAAATCTCGTACCTTATTATAATTAGTTATTTTAATATATAAATCTAATATATTTTTTATTTATTCATTAAAAATATTAATTAATAAATAAAAATTTAAAATTTACTCTCTCTCTCTCTCTATATATATATATAATATTAACTAATTATATACTAATCCAATCTATTTTTTATAAGACGAATAAATTAAAATTGAGCTATTTTACTGATTGAATAAAAATGAGATGAATTAAAAGGGACAAATTGACTAGTCTAACAGATTTCTAGAAGGAAAAAAATATTCCACCTGGAGAATAATTTGAGCACCAATGGGGTTTATAAAAGTGACGAAAGTCTAAAACACGAAACACTAAAATACAAGTTCCCTGAAAAATAAATATTTAATCATGAAAAGGAATAATCTGAGGTACATGGTGGCTCTAACTCCAACGGAATTATTTCATTGGATTCAAAGAATTTGTGTGGCATTTATTTGGTCCTGAACTTGTCAAATTATCATGAAGGTTTCAAAAATTTAAACAGCTCAAGAAACTTTTTTTTTTAACATAATTATGAATTGTTCTAATCAATAGATTTATACTCAATGGAAAATCTATTCTTAAAATTGGTATGTAATTTAACGGATAAAAATAAATAAAAAATAGGATAAAATTAGTGAAGTTATCGAATCTATTTGATTTGAAAAAAAAGTAAAGGTTCTTTTTAATTTTTTAAGAACAATTCTTTTAAAATATAATATTATTTATCTTTTTTTATCATATTTTAAACAAAAATTACTTTATTGTATTTTTATCATGTTTTTATTATTTATTATTCTTTATTATATTTCATATACGTGATCTTTAATATAACATCTGATATAGTTAATTTTTCAAGAAATTTATAATTATTAATACAATTATTTTATATTTTATATATTTTAATATTAATAAATAAATTAATATTATTTTTTTAAAATTTAATTGAAATCTTATTAAAATCACTCAGAATATTAATTAAAAAATCCTTAACAGTTGAAACATTTATAAAAAAAAATTGATTATGTTAATATAATATTATTTTTTATTATACTAAATTAAATGAGTGGTAAGTCATCATCACTCTTCATTAAAGTGTTTAAATATATTTTTTTAGATGATGTCAAAATTATGTGTTTTATTACTATTCATGATATTTATTTCATGAAATTATAAAAAATTATCATTAAAAATTTTATTAACTTCGAATTATATATTTTGAGTTTTGAAGAATTAACATAATAATTGATGGAAATTTATATTAAATATAGGAGATCAAAATATTACATCAATACACAACGAGACAAAACATTGATTGAAATATATTTTCGTTAACAAATCAAGAATTGAGGAGGGAGGTGTTATTGTCAAATAACACAATGTTGATTAACTTTAAGCTAACGAGCTAAGCAAATGACTAATTTGTTGGGTGATTCATGATAGTGACAAATGCCAAGATAATTCATTGAGATAAAATTAGGTAGAGAATGTGTGATTCTAGGAGTTCAATTTGATGAGCGATTAGCAAAAGAGTGAAATTGTGACACATTTATTACCAACATTCACTTATTAGTATTTATTATTTATTATTGATTCCTCTTAGTATTTGATTACCAACACACACTCGTAGCACTCGTAGAAGTAAGGTACACAATAAACAAAACATACACTTAGTGATTAATATACATATCATTCATAAGTATCAAGTATAATCAGATAGTAAATATACACAAAGTCATCCTAAAATACACCTAACAAGGGTTCACAAGACCAAAACAGACAAACTAACTATACAACCTAACTAAAAAGGAGATATATTTCGAACGTCCACTAAAATGAAGTATCTCTTGTAGCACTGTAGTGGTGTCCGATCAAATCCTCTACTTAGTACTTGCAACGATCATATTTAAACTTTACTTGGAGATGATACTAGGGATGAGTTGTGTTCAACGTCACCTATGCAAACATTTCATAACAACAATACATGCACAGAAAGGGTAAGACAACTTTATATTCACTTAGAGCATGCAAATAACATTGAGTTAATTAGAAACTACACATACAAACATATTAGCAATCAACACACAAATGATATGATATTATGAATGTAATGTATCCACTAATATTTTCTAGGACACATCCTAGTATGCAAGACCATGAGGATCATAAAACCACTTTTTTTTTCTCTTTTTTTTTCCGAGAAGGATCAGGAGTTTCACTGGAACCTCTCACCGCCTCGTAGTACTATACTCATAATTACTTGTTCAGCTCAACTGATCATGAGAAACTCTGGGGCTTTATTCAAGATAATCAAGCTTGGTAGTGAGAGTCTCACAGCTTAGGTAGCGAGCCTAAGTCGCATATGAGCTCGATCACACTCAATCATCCCCCGAGGTTAGCATGGAACCGACCCTAATTTTCCATATTCTCCTCATACACTCAATCATTGACTCATGAACATGATGCATGACTTATCATAACTTCTTCACCTCATTATACTTAAATCACATCTTAACTTCTTCAAAATAATACTATGTTATTTCTTAAAAAAATTTGACAGAGTCTCCCCTATAAATCGTATATTCCCAAAAAATTTTAACACCTGCAAAAATAATCGAAACAGACCTATAACACTTCTACTTTTCACAAAATCATGCTTCCACCTCATCATACTCATCATCACTCAAAATCATAATTTTCTCAATTTTAAATTATTTTTCTTAAATAATAATAATAATTGTAAATAATTTCCTCAAAATTATTAAAAAATTCATTTTCACTTACAATTAATTGTTTTCTCCTAATCAACATTATTCCAATACTTTTGAAAAATATTTATTAATTAAATAAAAATATAAAAATTCACTTCATAATTAAATTATAAAATTCAATTTAATATATCTTAAAAATTATTTTTCTTTCTCACATAGTTCATTTCTCACACCTTTCCTCCATTCCACCAAATTATAAAATGCAATTCTACGAGCTAATCCATCTTAACAAAAACAGTCCACAATAGTTTTCTACTTATCATGTTTCATAACATACATACAATATATCTCAATAATCAATTTAAAACAATTATCATAATACTAAACATAGAAATAGGCTAATTCTCAATCAAAATTCATCAATAAATCATATAAAATTACTAATTATTAAGCAATCGATTCAAACAACACTCATGGATGCCTTATAATCATACAAGGTTCCATACACTCAAGTTGCTCCATTTAGAAGCCACAAAATTCACATAATCTTAAAACTTTAAAAATTCATCAAAAATAGAAATAACATTCAAATAATTCCAAATAAATTTCTAATGAACTTAGAAGTAAAGAGACTTCATCTTAATGCTATTTCAAGCAAAAATGAAAATTATCTTACCCCTTACCTTATGTTGTAACTTGGTGAAGATCAACTCTTGATCAAATAATCTATCAAGTCTTTTGCCCTCCTCTTTGCAACTCTAAGTAGCCTCCTACATGCCAATTAAATACCTCAATTAAGTCCTTAATTCCAACCTTATTAGACCTCTAAAATCTTACATTCTTCGTAGCCTAAAATTCAAGACTATGGTTCTTTGAGTTATAAAATAATTTCTAGGGCCTAAATTGATGCTAATGAAAGTAATACAAGTGAAAGAGAGTAATGGAAGTAATACAGTTAGAGTAGGAAGAATCCTAATAACAAATATGGACAAGGTTCAGTATTTCAGAATTTTCTAAAGTTATATAAACTGTTTTGGCATTAGATCTTAGCCAAAATTTCAATAACTTAATGACCTACAATATTGATGAAGGAAATAC